TTACTGACATGGGATTGATATTTCTAGACTGCAAAGAGAAAAGAAAACTCAAGTGCCTAATACTATCAGGTAACTCCACATATAAAATAAGACCATAAACTTTCAATGGGTCCATTTATAATTATGTAAATATATAACTAAAGATACACCAAAGTTGTAAAAGTGATTACCTCCAGGAAGGAAAATGAGATTGGGGAGTACTGGTCAAAGGGAAATGGACCTCTGTGTAATGTTTAATGTTGTAGTGCTCAACTTACTTGTGGCTGCCTGATTTCTTTGAGCTGCTGTGGTGTAGTAAATCACATAGTGTGGCTTTTCTAGCCATAAGTCTTTGTAAACTTTCTAGCCATAAGTCTTTGTAAACTCCATGGTGGAATTTGCCATGAGCAACTGAGTAGCTCCTGATTATTAAAGTTATCCACCTGGGGTATTTCTATTGAGAGTGGCACGAAGCAATCTTCTGGGAAGTTCTCTTCTCTCTCAGGTATATAGAATTCTGATGCTGGGATTGGTTAGTTTGGCCACTCTGCCAAGCTCAAAAGGAGCTCTCCTAGAGGCAGAAGGAGTCTCTCTGACTGCTGGCTGAGGGATGCGAGAGACAGGCTCTGCTGAGAGAAACCTCGAGAGATACATACTGCTGAGAGAGATACTGAAAGACACGCACTGCTGAAAGAGACTGAGAGAGACTGTCAGCTGAGAGACAGCAGGCTGTGAGAGACTGAGTGCATTTCTGAACTTGAATTGTAGCCTGTTGCTTCCCTAATAAACCCTATAAATCTGTGAGTTCTGTGTGGCCACCGCAGAGAATTATCAAAACCAGCAGAGAGGCAGTGGGTGCTGTGGGAGAATGGTTGGTGTCGGGGATGGTGAAAGGGCTGGAGGAAGGCAACATGTCTGGCCTCGCAGGAACAGGCCTTGGGCTACTGATGGTGATTGTGTCTTCCTCTTGTAGGGTTAGAGGAGGTCAGAAGATGGCGCCTCCTTGCCCCCTTGGCAGCTGCCTGATTTCTTTTGAAGAGCCATTCTATATTTTTTATAGTGAGTCTGCACTGTGAATTTCACCTACCCAGAATAGATTGAAAGAAAATTTGTTTTGCAGTCTTTGATATTGGCCCAGGAGTGTGAGGGTTATTTGTACCTCACAAGAATGCTCAACAGAAGAACCCCACTATTGAGGATGTTCATAATAATCAAAACTCACTGCTGTCGGGTCCATACAGACTCATAGCAACCCAGTAGTACAGGGTAGAACTGTCCCATAGTGTTTCCAAGCTGTAATCTTTATAGAAGCGGACTGCTACATCTTTCTCCCATGAAGTGAGCTGCTGAGTTCAAACCACCAACCTTTGGTTAGCAGCTGAGCACATTAACCACTGTGCCACCAGGGCATGTTCAAAATAATTAGGTAGATAAAATGACCAGTTCTTTGTATTTCAATCAGGTTTTCTCCAGTCACCCCAGTGCTTGGTCAAGGCTTCATAAACAAAGTTATTAATGGGGACAGAGCAGAAATTATTCATAGTTTAAGTAACTTCCCTTCACCAAAACTGACCTGGCTGTTGTTACATTTGAATTTGCTAGTGAAAGTGATCTATCTACCTTAAGTATTTATCAGGTTAACATATTCTTGGGTATGATAATCAGCAATCTGGCTGTAGGTTGATTAAAAAAACCCAAATTCACTGCCCTGGAGTCGGTTCTGTCTCATAGCGACCCCTCCTTTGGTTTCCAAGTTGGTATCTCTACGGAAGTAGACTGCTCAATCTTCCTTCCCAGGAGTGGCTGGTGGGTTTGAACCGCCAGCCTTCTGGTTAGCAGTCAAATGCCTTAGGCACTAGGCCCACCACTCTTCTAAATATGGATTTCCTTCCCTTCTCACCATTCTTCTGCCAGTAGTATCAGCTGTGTTTCTCCTCAATGTTTTATTCACTGTCCTGTTATTTTAAACTATATGACTTTTGACTAAGGGACTCAATTTACCATACAGATATTGGCAATGGTTGCATCCAAATGATTCACTGGCCTTAGTATAATTACAGAATGGCAGAGTGGCCTATTAAAAATTTCATTTGTGGTTGAGTGTTGTCCTGTAGGATATGGCTCATGCTCTGAACCAGTGGCCAATAAATATTCCTGTTCTCCCCACAGCCAGAATGCATGAGTCTAAAGCCAAAGGGTGATAGTGGGAGTGGCATTAAGCCCCGTATAATTATTGTTACACTTCGGAAGTTTTTACGTCCTCCACAGTCACCTAAGATCTGCACTTTAGAGGTCAAAGGGAGAAATGCTTTCATCAGGGGACATAACAATACCCTTGAATTGGAAGTTGAATTGATGTGGTAATTCTGGACCCCTTTAAATTTTGGATAAGACAGTTAAGATTATACCAGATAGGCTGGGATGACTCATGCTACTTATCAGAATGCAAAGGAGTTGCTGTTACACAACAATGGAGGAAAGGAGTATATTACCTCCTGTGGCATAAATTTAATGAAATATTATAGAAGCCTCACACAGACTGGTAGGTATTGAACCATATCACCTCCCCAGCCCCTCAATAGGTGTTTTAAATCCTAACCCCTATAGTGGTTATAGGAGCTCTGGTGGTGTAATGCCTAAGGCATTTGACTGCTAACCAGAAGGCTGGCGGTTCAAACCCACCAGCCACTCCTCAGAAGGAAGGTTGGGCAATCTACTTCTGTAGTGATACAGCCTTGGAAACCCAAGCAGGGGTTGCTATGATCTGACTCCAGACTCCATGGCAGTGGTTGTGTTGCGTATAGTGGTTATAACCCCATTTAGGGATGAGTTTTCTTTGTTATGTTAATGAGACAGTATTAGTGTGGGGTGTGTCTTAAATCAGTCTCTTTTGAAATAGAAGAGACTAAACAAGCAAGCAAGAGAGCAGAGATGGGGGAAGATAGGTACCAACCCACAAGAAAATCACCAAGGAAACAAGGAACAAAGACTTTCCCATAGAGCTGACAAAGACAGAAAGCCTTCCTCTAGGGCCAGCACCCTGAATTCAGACTTCTAGCCTCCTAGAACGTACAAATGGGTGCTCTAAGTTTTGTCCATCACCCACATATTTACTAGACCTTGATTTGGATGTGAGTGGCTTTTGTGAGACATCTATATGACTAATTAGGTGGCAGCAGAGGTGTCAGTTTTCATAGGGGCCCATTCTCTGATGAAGTCTGAATAGTCAGGCTATTGTTCCAGAAAGTTTATCAATTAATTTCTCTAGCCTTCCCAACAGTTCCCCAACTAACCTAATATCCTCTAGCAGATCCTGTTCTTCAATTAGCCAGTATGGATTCTGTTGTCTGCAACTGAAAATCCTAACCCACACAAATAAATAACTTCTGTAATTAAAATTTAATTTTAAAAAGAACAAAAGTAGTTTTATTGGCAAAGTAAACTTAAAGAAAGCAAATGTAATTTAATTCAGATAATGTCTATAAAATACTTAGCACATGTATGGCATATTAAAGTCCTTGATACACATTGTTTTTGAAAGGGATTGTTTTGTTATTTTTATGGAAACGATACACTGTCATTATAACAATTTGACTAATACAAAAAAAGTATATACAAATAGCTCCATGTAGAACATGATTCTAGCTCTCTAAGTAAAAGGAAGTAAGAATGGAGAGATGTACAAATATAGTCAAAACTAAGTTTCAAGAACTGGATCAAAGTTCATGGCATTTTAAAAATAAAATTAAAGAAATTAATTTTATTAGCATTAACCTACATTTCTGACACAGGGTTGACCGGCACTCCAATTGGTACAAATATTTCCTCTCTCAGTGTCCTAGTGCTGCATTCAATTAAGGGACCAAACAGAAACCTCTCATTCCAAGCTGGATTTTCCTTGAGAAACAAGTCTTGGCTTTATTTTGACATACTGTTAATTCTGTGAGTTTCCTTCTCATTCTTTTAGAATATTATGCATTTTTTTAACATACAAATTTTAGGGACAACAGATGTCAACTCTATCAGGAGCTACCTTCTCTGTCTCTCCAACAATGTTTGCTATACTTAAATTGCTGAATAGGTGAGTGAATTAATTAATGAGTAGATGAGAAGAACTTGGGCTGTGGAAACAGGCCTGGACTGAAATCCCTGCTCCACGACTTTATAACTGTCTGACTCAAGGTAAGATACCGAGTCTCTTGAGATCTCTGTTTATTCACGTGCAAAACCAGGATAACAACATCCACCTTATAAAGATATCAATCTACCGGTATATTATACTAGAAGGTAAGTTCCATGACAGTGAGGACTTAAAAAAATCTTTTGAATGAACGAATGAACTTGGAGTCCTCACTATAATGTGTCAGATGTCTGAATCTTCCTAATTGCACAAGACTGTTAGATCTTTTCATTTGTCTGCCTTTTTATTGCCTTCCTGAGGCCTCCAGTAATGTTGATCACCCACTGCTGAATATCCCTACTGATAATGTTTCTGTCTCTAGCTGTGCTTGCCTTTCCTAATTTATTTCTTTTAACTACATTAGAACAAAAAACCCAGTAACTAGATTTTTAGTAAGCCAGGTAGCCAAGAGTGTTAAATAAAGCTCGGAGTAATGTCATTATCTTTATTGTTGTTGAGTAATGTCATTATCTTTATTGTTGTGTTGTTAACTGCCGGTGAGTCAGCTCTGACTCATGGTGACTCCATGCACAGCTTAATGAAATGCTGCCGGATCCTGCACCACGCCCATGACTGGTTGGGGATCAGACCATTGCCATTCGTAGCGTTTCCACTGACGTATTTTTCAGAAGTGGATTGCCAGGACTTTCCTCCTAGTCCCTTTCAGTCTAGAAGTTCTGCTGAAACCTGTTCAGCATCATACCAACACAGCAACCTTAACTGACAGGTAGTTGTGCCTGCACATGAGGTAAACTGGGCAGGAATCACATTGGGGTCTCCTGACCTGCATGGCAGGTGAGAATTCGACCCCTGAGCCGCCCCTGCTCCTCTGGAATCTTTAGTAAACAGTTAATGTGACATTTAATCGGCTGCTCAGATTTTTGTCTTTCTCTTCAGTTTTAACTTGTGTTTTGAAAAGCGTTTCTTAAAGAGTGATTTTAAGATTTATAAACTATTATTGAAATATTTTAATACTTGAAAATAATGCTTGGTAGATTCTAATGACTGTAATAAAGACTGATGAATATATTACAAAGCAGAAGTTCCAGTAACCAAGAACATCTGTATACATTAGACCAACTATTTGCTCAAAGAAAAGCATTTTTAATATATCTTTCTCTCTCCCAGGAATATTTCCATTTAGTATTAGAGAAGATGGGATAAGCAAGGGAATTAATCAAAATTTCTGATCACAGTATTTTCTTATCTCTAAGGACAGCAAAAGGCATCATAAACTCAGATTTTTAAACTGATTTCACAATTAGAAATTATAATTAGTTTTTTCATCTGTGTCTTTTTTTTCATAATAGGTTTAATTTTTTTTTTTTTTAATTGTGATTTGGGTGAAAGTTTACAGAGCAAGTTCACTTTCCATACAGCAGTTCACACACACTTTGTCTCATGTCACTGACCACAGTTTACCCCAATGCAACAGCTCCCCTCCCACTTCCTCCCCACAGTTACCTCTTCCCTGTGTCCATTCCTCCATGCACTCCTACCCCCTGAGCTGTCTCCTGGTACATAAGCAGCCCTTCTTTCTCCCATGATTATTCTCTCCAA